TTAAGGATTATTTTACACCCACTGCATATACATCACCATCATGCATCCAATTACCCAACACCACTGTTGCTCATTATCAGATTAAGTCCAGCACCATACAAATGCTCCCATCATTCCATTATTGAAATACAGCCAACATGTGCGAAAATGATGAGCTCCTTGGAAAGGGCATGCAAGGGGTTACTCAACACATATATGATGGACACTTAGCATAGCAAAACCAACTCTGGAAATCAAATATGACAGCCCTAAAACTCACTAAAAAGGGCCTGAAATTGATCAATAAAGCATACAATAAAAGGTCCTCTTGAAAGGCCTCGAGGAGGGTTGTTCCACACATGCACGAGGGACATAAAATATGGCCAAAAAGACCTTGGCCAGAGCTAAGGCAGACTTCAAAACCCTCAAAATGAGGCCTGAAACATGACTTCAAAGCATGCTGATTAAGGCCGAAATATACATCATTGAGACCGTTAATTAGAATCTCTTAATTTCACTTGTTGGTCAAACTGTATACTTTATGTGTGTTGAGTGTCAATCAGGTTGTACATCGTCGGAGCATAAAATGAACAAAAAGACAGAATTTGGAGAGAGTTGACTTTCTCGCACATGCGTTGACTTTTCCCGCACGTGCGTTGACTTTTATCGCACATGCGTTGATTTTCCCGCACATGCGTTGACTTTTCCTGGGAAAGTCAAACCAACGTTTTAAACCTGTTTGGACGAGATTGGAAGTATAAAAAGGCAAGTAAAAGGCTGGATTAGGGTTCTGAAGTTGTTTTAACCTAAAGGGAGAGGCTAGGGTTTGGAAAGGAAGAGAAACAAAAGCTCCAAGATGTCTCCCATGGTGGTTCCTTCTCCTTCTACCTCCTTCTTCCTTCTCCTTCTACTTCCTTCCACTCCTCCATGAGTGGCTAGTCTTCTTTTCTAGGGTTTTGATGAAACCCTAGCCATGTAATTATGTAGTTTTCTTTTGATTTTTAATTATGTAAAGGTTTGAACATTTGTATGGTGATTTAGAAGTTTGTTTTATATAATTTTCATTATTCTTTTGAATATTTGATTTTCTGTGATTGTTAAATGTTATCCATACAATTGTTTTCTTTTCCTTCACATTCAAGGTATGGGACGAACCATACTACGAGGAACGAGTCGTATCACTACCTTAGTTTAGTGAACGGTTCGTATTACTTGAGATGGTTCGTGCTCGTACATTGAATGTGATGATCTTCTTGTTAAATGCTTTGAGCTTGTAGTTGCGAAGCATTAATCCGTTCAAACCATAGCATAATTGATCTCAATTGGAAACCCTAATTATGTGGTTAGTGGTGAATTCTCTACCCTAGGATTTTTTTTCCCAATTCAGTAAATCCAATTTCATTTATTATTGATAATTTAATTCCTTAGTTTAATTTATTTTTTATTAAATTAGGTTATGATCATTCAATCTTTTTATCAAAATTAATTTAGGAATTTAACAATTAAATTAGTTTAATTTCACAATAGTCCCTGTGGATCGATACATGGACTTGTCATTATTCTGATTGAATTTGGTATAGTTTAGTATTTAATTTTGGTGTGTTCAACGACCCATCAAATTTTGGCGCCGTTGCCGGGGACTTCTGGCGAAATTAGTTAATTTAAAGTTACATTCTTACTTTAATTTTTAGTTTATGATTTTATGCTTTTGGTGTTGCTAAGTGTGCAAAGTGGTTGAAATTGGAGCTATCATTGAAGTGCAAGCGGAGTGCTGCCGAGCTTAAATAAAAACCGCAGCACTAAAGTGAGTAAACAGAAGCAAACACTCACAAGCAAAGCACCAAAGTACTAAAACGAAAGTCAAAGCTCAAACAGAGGTTGGAAATAACGTCTACACATCAAGCATCCGCAAGACGAATAAAGCGTTTTCGTTAAACCGCTGTGAGTATTTCTTCATTTGGTATTTTGCTTTCATACTTAGTGCACAGAGTCGGTACTTGTTGTGTGTGTTTGGGTAGTGTATGCACGGGCGTCGTTCTTGTCGCCCTGAATTGTGGAGTTTGGACCTTGAACTAGAAAGGACCCTTAGGAAACTTAGGACCTCTGCCCGTATTCCTAGGCTTGAATATTCATGCATTGAGCCATTAGAGATGGCAGATCCTAATGTCCCGAATTTGCCCAACCGGACACTTAAGGATTATTTTACACCCACTGCATATACATCACCATCATGCATCCAATTACCCAACACCACTGCTGCTCATTATGAGATTAAGTCCAGCACCATACAAATGCTCCCATCATTCCATGGACTAACTCATGATGATCCTTATAAGCATTTGAATGAATTTCTGGAAATTTGCTCGACAGTAAGGATCCAGAATTTCACAAATGAAGCCTTAATGTTGCGATTGTTTCCATTCTCGTTAAAGGATAAAGCTAAACACCGGCTAAATTCTTTACCTGCTAACTCAATCACAACTTGGGACCAATTACAGCAACGGTTTTTGGAGAAGTTCTTTCCCATAGGTAAAACCAACCAACTTAGGTGAGCCATCACAAACTCTGCTCAAATGGATGGCGAGCAATTCCATGAGACGTGGGAAAGACTTAGAGACCTTCTTCAATAGTGTCCCCACCACCAAGTGCCTGATTGGCAACTTGTTCAAATATTTTATTATGGCTTAACTGAGCCGCACCACCAAATGGTGGATTCGTCCTGTGGTGGGACATTCATGTCTAAAAATAATGCCGAGGCATGGCAATTGTTTGAGAACCTAAGTGATAATTCCCTTCACCATGCCTCCGCAGCCCGGCAAGTCCGGCAACCAGTAGTTGGAGCCTCGAAAAGAGGGGGCATTTATGAGGTCGGGCAAAACTTAGAGTTAGTCCAACAAGTAGAGGCACTATCCCGCAAGATAGATCACTTATTAGCTACGGGACATGCCCCTACCCAGCAAGATCAGCCTCAATTCCGTGAGGCATGTGTTATATGTGTGAGCCATGCTCATGACTTGAGTGAGTGCCCTTCGGCATCACAATTTCTGGAGTTAGTCCATGAGCATGTGAATGTGGCTCAAGGATTCTCCAACCCGGGTAATGACCCATACTCCAACACATATAATCCAGGATGGAGAAATCACCCTAATTTCTCATGGAGACCCCCTTCACAAGGCACTTCTTACAATCCTCCACCACCAAGGCAGAATTTCAATAATTTTGCCAACCAATCATCCTACCGACCACCGCAACCTTATCGACCCCCACAACCGTACCGGCAACCACAACCCCCACTTGTTCCTCAAGGTAACTCTGCCTTTGAGACTCAAGTGTTGGAAGTTCTCTCAGAACTTAAGGGGTTAGCACCGATAGTTCACTCCCACACTCACTCTATTGCCAAGATAGAGACCCAATTGGGTCAAATGGCTATCAACATGAATTGGAGTGAGGAGGGAAAATTACAGAGTCAAATCGTGGCCAACCCTAAGGGACAATATGGGGCAGAGAGTTCAGGTGGGAATGGTAAGCAACATGAGCAAGTGCAGGCAGTGATTGCTTTGAGAAGTGGTAGGGAGTTAGAGCATCGGTCAGTTGCGTCTGATGCAACTAGAGTTAGGAAGGGTGACCACGGTGGTTCACCTAGTGAGAGTAAGGGTGAGGGGGAAACACTTAAGAGGGATGACTTAGTCCCTAGCACTTCATTTGAGCCCAAGGCACCATATGTGCCTAAGGCACCCTTTCCCCAGTGCCTTGATACACCATCCCCTTTTAATAAGAAGACGACATCTATGGAGGCAATGATGGAGGTCTTTAAACAGGTAAAAATCAACCTCCCCCTGTTGGAGGCGATTAAGCAAGTACCATCATATGCCAAATTTCTGAAGGACCTTTGTACGCAAAAGTGTAAATCTAGAACACATGTGTCCCAAAAGGTCCTACTCACGGAGTAAGTAAGCTCCATCTTGTTGAATTGCACACCTCCTAAGCTTAAGGACCCAGGGGCCCCAACCATTGCATGCATTATAGGGGACCACTTCGTTGACAGGGCCTTATTGGATTTATGGGCTAGTGTTAATTTGTTGCCGTACTCTGTGTACGAGGAATTTGGGCTTGGCGAGTTCAAGCCCACTACTGTTACTCTTCAGTTGGCTGACCGGTCCCTCAAAGTGCCACGAGGCATGATTGAGGATGTGTTAGTTAAGGTTGATAGGTTCTACTTCCCTGTGACTTTTTGGTTTTAGATATGGAACCGGTAGCCAGTTCGAGGAAACAAATCCCGGTGATCTTGGGTCGACCTTTCTTGGCTACGACCAATGCATGCATTAATTGTCGGACCGGGGTTATGGAAGTTTCATTTGGTAACATGCAAGTGAAACTTAATGTTTTCCAAGCATCACAACAACCTCATGAGAGAGAGGAGTGCTTATTAGTGGATGTTGTGGATGAGATTGTTGAGGAGGCTTTGCCCTCCATTCTTGTAGAGGACCCTTTAGAGGCTTGTCTAGCTCATTTTAGGTTTGAAAATTTTGATATTGATGGGTCGGTTGAGGAGGTGAATGTCTTGCTTAATTCTTCCTCTACACCAGATTTTCCTCTATGGAAAGCCTGGTTTGAGTCACTTCCTCCTTTGTCAAGAGAGCCTGCCATACCATCTTTGGTCACACCACCTACACTTGAGTTGAAGCCACTCTCGGCCACACTCAAGTATGCATTTTTAGGGCCCCAAGATACTTTACCGGTCATCATTGCATCTGACTTGACTGCAGTGCAGGAAAGTCAGTTAATGAGTGTTCTCGTGGCACATCGGAGTGCTATAGGGTGGTCAGTGGCTGATTTGAAAGGGATAGATCCCTCCGTGTGCATGCATTATATACACCTAGAGGAGGACTCCAAACTTTCTCACGAAATGCAACGGAGACTGAATCCTATTATGAAAGAGGTGGTGAAGAAGGAGGTTTTGAAATTGTTGGATGCCGGTATTATATACCCCATCTCGGATAGCAAGTGGGTGAGTCCCACGCAAGTGGTGCCCAAGAAATCGGGCATCACTGTTGTTGAGAATGAGAGAGGAGAGTTAGTCCCCACACGAACCACTACTGGGTGACGAGTGTGTATTGATTATAGGAGACTGAATTCCTTAACTAGGAAGGATCATTTTCCCTTACCTTTTATTGATCAAATCCTAGAGCGGTTAGCGGGGCAGGGTTCCTATTGTTTTCTTGATGATTATTCGGGATATAATCAAGTCCTGGTGTACCCTGCTGACCAGGAAAAGACCACATTCACATGCCCTTTTGGCACTTTTGCTTACAGGCGCATGCCCTTTGGGCTATGTAATGCACCGGCGACTTTTCAACGGTGTATGATGGCCATTTTCTTCAATATGGTGGAGAAATTCTTAGAGGTTTTCATGGATGATTTTTCGGTGTTTGGACCATCTTTTGAGGAATGCCTTAGGAACTTGACTAGAGTGTTAGAACGATGTACTGAGGCAAACCTAATCTTGAGTTGGGAAAAGAGCCATTTTATGGTTCGTGAGGGTATAGTGTTGGGACACATTGTGTACCCTCGAGGTATAGAGGTTGACAAGGCTAAGGTTGACCTCATTGCAGGCCTTCCTCCACCCAATTCCGTGCGTCAAATTAGGTCTTTCCTAGGGCATGCAGGTTTTTACCGTAGGTTCATCAAAGACTTTAGTAAGATATCACGTCCTTTGTGTAGTTTACTAGTTAAGGACGCGCCTTTTGTCTTTGATGAGGCATGCTTAAAGGCATTCGAAACACTAAGAATGGCTTTGACCACCGCCCCAATCATGAAGTCACCAGATTGGTCTCTTCCTTTTGAAATCATGTGTGATGCTTCTGATTATGCTGTCGGGGCTGTGTTGGGCCAAAGGGTCAATAAGGCACCATTTGCTATATATTATGCTAGTCGCACTCTCTCGGATGCTCAATTGAACTACACTACTACCGAGAAAGAGTTGCTAGCTGTGGTCTTTGCCTTAGACAAATTCCGGTCTTATCTCCTAGGTTCCAAGGTCATAGTCTTCACTGATCATGTCGCTTTGCGGTATTTATTATCTAAGAAAGAGACCAAACCTAGGTTGATTAGATGGATTTTGTTGCTTCAGGAATTTGATTTAGAGATCCGTGATAAGAAAGGATCTGAGAATGTGGTGGCGGATCATCTCTCCCGAATCCTCGTTGAGTATAATAGCGACCCTCTTATTTTGCATGATTCGTTTCTGGACGAATAACTTTTTGAGCTGTCACAAGCGAACCCCCCGTGGTTTGCACATATTGTGAATTACTTGGCCATTGGACAAATTCTGCAGAATTGGTCTAAGCAAGACAAAGACCGATTCTTTTCACAGGTCAGGTATTACTTTTGGGAGGATCCGGAGTTGTTTAAATATTGCTCCGACCAAGTGATCCGACGGTGTGTGCCGGAGAGTGAGGTGCATAGCATTCTTACATTTTGTCATTCTTCTGCATGTGGCGGTCATTTTAGTGGGCATAAAACGGCCGCCAAGATTTTACAAAGCGGGTTTTATTGGCCCACAATTTTTAAAGATGCCCATCAATTTTGTAGAACTTGTTTGCGCTGTCAGCAAATGGGTTCGATGTCTCGGCGTGACATGATGCCAATGTCCCCTATTCTTGTGGTAGAAATATTTGATGTGTGGGGGATTGATTTTATGGGCCCTTTCCCGTCGTCATTTGGGTTTGAGTACATTCTTTTGGCAGTAGATTACGTGTCTAAGTGAGTGGAGGCAATAGCTACCCGAATAAACAATCATAGAGTGGTAATCAAGTTTTTGCATGAAAACATCTTTAGTCGTTTTGGGTTTCCTAGAGCCATAATAAGTGATCAGGGTACACATTTTGTAACCGGTTCTTTGAGTCGGTAGTTAAGAAATACTCTATCACTCATAAAGTTGGCACTCCATATCACCCTCAAACTAGTGGCCAAGTGGAAGTCTCAAATAGGGAGGTAAAGCACATAATTGAGAAAACGGTGAGACCGGATAGGAAAGATTGGTCACAACGGTTAATTGATGCATTATGGGCTTACTGCACTGGCTATAAGACACCCATTGGGATGTCACCATATAGAGCGGTGTTCGGCAAAGCTTGCCATCTTCCGGTTGAACTTGAGCACCGAGCATTGTGGGCCATAAAGAAGTTTAACTTCGATATGGCCGCAGCTGGGCTCAACCGGAAATTGCAACTCGCTTAGCCATGACTGATTTATTTCTTTTTAGTATTTTTAGTGGTCATTATGATTTTTTTTTTAATTTTATTTGTGCTCTTTTAGTTGTAGAATGCATGTTTTTTAGTTTGTTCAAAAAAAAAAAAAAAGAAAAAAAAAAGAGAGAGAACCAGAACCAAACTCGGCATAGGAGGAAGATGAGCACCGCACGTGCGGCCCTTTATGGCGCACGTGCGGAAAAAAAAAAAAAAACCTCATAAATATTGGTACTAACACTAATCCTAATTTAGTTTTTTTTTATTTGTTATATTTGTTTAGTTTAAATTGCTTCGTAGTGATTCTGGTTAATTTAATTAGTTAGTGAAATTTGGTTTTATTTTTATTTTTCTTATGCTTGTGTAGTTAGTGATTTTATTTTTATCTTATTCTATGATGTCATTGTTCATATACTTTCTAAGTAGTTTATTTTATTTTATTTTCTGAAGTTTTATTTAATTTTATTCTCTTCAATTAACAAGAAAAAAAAAACAAAAAAATAATAAATAAAAAAAAACAAAAAAAAAAAACTAAAAAAAAATGTTTAGTTTTGGTTGTTTTATTCTATACTTTAGTCTATTTTGTAGTTTAGTTATTTTATAGTTTAGTTTAGTTAATTTAATTTAATGGCATTTTACTTCATTTATTTAATTAATTTCGTTTTTATATTTTTTTTAAAAAAAAAACAATAGTGGGAATTGCATGTGGTACATTAGTGGGCAAATTTGTGCTTTCATATTTTATTTGATTCTCATGCTGGTTTCCGGTGACCACCATTTTTTCCGGCGAACCTCCATTTTTTTTTTCTCTCTTTCTCTACTTTTTCAAGGTAATTTTTTTTCTCTTTTGCGTAGATTTCTAGTGTTCATCCTAAAATAAATAAATAAATTAATAAATGCTTAGCCATGACTGATTTATTTCTTTTTAGTATTTTTAGTGGTCATTATGATTTTTTTTTTAATTTTATTTGTGCTCTTTTAGTTGTAGAATGCATGTTTTTTAGTTTGTTCAAAAAAAAAAAAAAAGAAAAAAAAAAGAGAGAGAACCAGAACCAAACTCGGCATAGGAGGAAGATGAGCACCGCACGTGCGGCCCTTTATGGCGCACGTGCGGAAAAAAAAAAAAAAACCTCATAAATATTGGTACTAACACTAATCCTAATTTAGTTTTTTTTTATTTGTTATATTTGTTTAGTTTAAATTGCTTCGTAGTGATTCTGGTTAATTTAATTAGTTAGTGAAATTTGGTTTTATTTTTATTTTTCTTATGCTTGTGTAGTTAGTGATTTTATTTTTATCTTATTCTATGATGTCATTGTTCATATACTTTCTAAGTAGTTTATTTTATTTTATTTTCTGAAGTTTTATTTAATTTTATTCTCTTCAATTAACAAGAAAAAAAAAACAAAAAAATAATAAATAAAAAAAAACAAAAAAAAAAAACTAAAAAAAAATGTTTAGTTTTGGTTGTTTTATTCTATACTTTAGTCTATTTTGTAGTTTAGTTATTTTATAGTTTAGTTTAGTTAATTTAATTTAATGGCATTTTACTTCATTTATTTAATTAATTTCGTTTTTATATTTTTTTTAAAAAAAAAACAATAGTGGGAATTGCATGTGGTACATTAGTGGGCAAATTTGTGCTTTCATATTTTATTTGATTCTCATGCTGGTTTCCGGTGACCACCATTTTTTCCGGCGAACCTCCATTTTTTTTTTCTCTCTTTCTCTACTTTTTCAAGGTAATTTTTTTTCTCTTTTGCGTAGATTTCTAGTGTTCATCCTAAAATAAATAAATAAATTAATAAATGCTTAGCCATGACTGATTTATTTCTTTTTAGTATTTTTAGTGGTCATTATGATTTTTTTTTTAATTTTATTTGTGCTCTTTTAGTTGTAGAATGCATGTTTTTTAGTTTGTTCAAAAAAAAAAAAAAAGAAAAAAAAAAGAGAGAGAACCAGAACCAAACTCGGCATAGGAGGAAGATGAGCACCGCACGTGCGGCCCTTTATGGCGCACGTGCGGAAAAAAAAAAAAAAACCTCATAAATATTGGTACTAACACTAATCCTAATTTAGTTTTTTTTTATTTGTTATATTTGTTTAGTTTAAATTGCTTCGTAGTGATTCTGGTTAATTTAATTAGTTAGTGAAATTTGGTTTTATTTTTATTTTTCTTATGCTTGTGTAGTTAGTGATTTTATTTTTATCTTATTCTATGATGTCATTGTTCATATACTTTCTAAGTAGTTTATTTTATTTTATTTTCTGAAGTTTTATTTAATTTTATTCTCTTCAATTAACAAGAAAAAAAAAACAAAAAAATAATAAATAAAAAAAAACAAAAAAAAAAAACTAAAAAAAAATGTTTAGTTTTGGTTGTTTTATTCTATACTTTAGTCTATTTTGTAGTTTAGTTATTTTATAGTTTAGTTTAGTTAATTTAATTTAATGGCATTTTACTTCATTTATTTAATTAATTTCGTTTTTATATTTTTTTTTAAAAAAAAACAATAGTGGGAATTGCATGTGGTACATTAGTGGGCAAATTTGTGCTTTCATATTTTATTTGATTCTCATGCTGGTTTCCGGTGACCACCATTTTTTCCGGCGAACCTCCATTTTTTTTTTCTCTCTTTCTCTACTTTTTCAAGGTAATTTTTTTTCTCTTTTGCGTAGATTTCTAGTGTTCATCCTAAAATAAATAAATAAATTAATAAATGCTTAGCCATGACTGATTTATTTCTTTTTAGTATTTTTAGTGGTCATTATGATTTTTTTTTTAATTTTATTTGTGCTCTTTTAGTTGTAGAATGCATGTTTTTTAGTTTGTTCAAAAAAAAAAAAAAAGAAAAAAAAAAGAGAGAGAACCAGAACCAAACTCGGCATAGGAGGAAGATGAGCACCGCACGTGCGGCCCTTTATGGCGCACGTGCGGAAAAAAAAAAAAAAACCTCATAAATATTGGTACTAACACTAATCCTAATTTAGTTTTTTTTTATTTGTTATATTTGTTTAGTTTAAATTGCTTCGTAGTGATTCTGGTTAATTTAATTAGTTAGTGAAATTTGGTTTTATTTTTATTTTTCTTATGCTTGTGTAGTTAGTGATTTTATTTTTATCTTATTCTATGATGTCATTGTTCATATACTTTCTAAGTAGTTTATTTTATTTTATTTTCTGAAGTTTTATTTAATTTTATTCTCTTCAATTAACAAGAAAAAAAAAACAAAAAAATAATAAATAAAAAAAAACAAAAAAAAAAAACTAAAAAAAAATGTTTAGTTTTGGTTGTTTTATTCTATACTTTAGTCTATTTTGTAGTTTAGTTATTTTATAGTTTAGTTTAGTTAATTTAATTTAATGGCATTTTACTTCATTTATTTAATTAATTTCGTTTTTATATTTTTTTTAAAAAAAAAACAATAGTGGGAATTGCATGTGGTACATTAGTGGGCAAATTTGTGCTTTCATATTTTATTTGATTCTCATGCTGGTTTCACGGGTATCTGTATTTATTGTTGGTGTGTGCAGGATATGAATCGCCGTGTCTTTGCTCGGGCCTCCAAAAAGGCCAGGGGTGCCTCCTCTTCAGCGCCACCACCACCACCGTCACCACCATCCTCGCCACCACCACCAGGTGACTTCCCACGGCCGGAGTGGGCTTTACGCCCTCTTCACAAGCTCACGTAGTTCAACCTGCAATTTTTCCAGCATGATGAGGACATTACTTGGGCCGTTGAGCAGCTCCGACTCCGGCAACAGTTGGGCATTTGCGCTGTGACAGCGCCCACTTATCCTCGTCTGGTACGATTATTCTACCAGAACCTGCATGAGGCACCCACCACGGTTGGACTGCTCTCTAACATTGATGGTCATGTTGTCCACTTCACCTCAGCCATGATTGCCACAGTGTTAGAGTTTTTCGCCAAACCAGAATATCAGCCTTTCCCGGAAGTTGAGGATCAACAACCCATACATCTCCTCATCCAACAATACTTCCCGGGAGCCCACGGTGACAACAGTTTCACATGCTTGCGGCGGAGCAAGCTAACTAGCCGCTTGTTTTTCCTTGATTCCATGGTCCATAAGAATGTCCTTCCACTTGGGCATCGAGCTGAGCGCCGTTTGGAGTTCGTGCGGGTTTTACACGGGTATCAGCTTGGCTATCAGGTCCCGCTTGAGCATTTCATTTTGATGCATTTGCAGAAATTTCTACATGAGGCAGTTCGGCCTACTCCTATGCAGAACCTGACTTGGCCATTACCATTTGCTAATTTGTTGACACTTGTGTTTGAGCTGAACCACCTCCCCATTGCTGAGGATGAGGAGATTGATAGAGGGTATCCAACTTTCGGCCAGCGGGAATGGCAGCACAGCATATCTCGTATCCCTCTGCCGATTGGTGCCCGTATTGATGAGGCCCAGGACCCAGTACCTGACCACCCAGCTCATCCTGTTCCCTCCGTGCCTCCCCAAGGGGACCCACTCTACATGACTCGCGAGGAGTACTTACAGCTTCAGCACTCTGGGGATCAGGTCCACCGTACTCTTCGTGATCACCACCAGAGTCGCATGGAGTTGCGCACGAATTTTCAAGCACATCGCGACTATTCTCAGGCGCGCTTCAATCAGCTACACACCGACAACCTCGCCATCCGGCAACAGGGTCAGGATGACGCCTTCGAGACGCACACTTTGATGCAAGCCTTGTTTGCCCAGCATTTCCCGCCACCACCACCACCACCACCGGCTTCTCCGTAATACCCGCTTGTATATTGCTTTGTCTCTTTTATTTTTATTTTTCTTTTTAGTTCTTTCTTTTCTTCAAAAAAAAAAAAAACACCAACCAAGTGTGAAGTGTGTATATGTTATTCTCTGTCTACCTGGATGTGCACCTACAATTCTAGTAATATTCTCTCATTTCTCTTTCCTTTTCCATTGAGGACAATATCATATTCACGTTGGGGGATAAGGGTTATATTTTCTTTTGTGCATTTCTATTTGCCTCATAATTCATGCTTATACATGTTTCACTTGATTGCATTACTTCACTTGATGTGACTTCTTGCTAGTAGAGTGATGATATTTGCATATGTTAATTAGAGAGCATAGTAGACTTGTATGAAAAGGGTTTATTGGGTAGATACTTGCATGCCATGTTTGCACGAGGAGAGTTGTCTATGTTTGTGGTTTTAGTACACTTGTCATGAGTATGCCTTAATTCACATGAACACACTATCATAGCGGTGATCTTTTTATTATAATCCCTGGTGTACATCATTGATAATAGCTAGACTTGCAGAAAAGAATAAATAAGGAGCCAAGATTCTTAAAAAAAAAGAAAAAGAAAAAGAAAAAAAACCACTTGACTAGTTTGGGTTCGTAGCCTTTTTAACTCGAGTTATTAAGCTCGTGGGGGTGTCTCTATACCTAATGCCCTAAAACCGTCTAGTTTGGAAGTCGTTGGCCCAAAACTTGCTACATGGGTTAATTAGAAAGCTTAAGGGATTTGGACATTGCACAGTTAAGGAAAAATAAGAAGAATGACTAGTTTGGATTCGTAGCCTTTTCAACTCAAGTTATTAAGCCCGTAGGGGTGTCTCTACACCTAATGCCCTAAAACCGTGCTTAATGGATCAGGACATTGCACAGTCATAAAAAAAAAAAAAACAACTTTTGAGAATCTTGGCTGTAACAGGTTAGTTTTTCTGTATATGTTGGGTGTTATTATGAGTTACACTGGGCTATTATAGTGGACAGTTAACTAATATGGAGATTGCACTTTACACCGAGGGTACTCATGACTTGTCTACTAGCATGCACAAGTACAGAGAACTTTACTTTTGTATTAACTGAATTGTGGTTTTGACTCAATAGGTTCCTTCATGCTTGTCCACTGTGCCTTTAATGACTCATGATGTCGCAATATCACACTGTAGTGGCACATAAGTTGATTGTTAGGTGGAGTAGTGTGGTCATTTGTTATTGAGTATATATGAATATGTTAATATTTGTGGGTATCATTTCTGGAAACCCTCACGAGACTTTACTCGTCCACCTGGGGTAACCTTATGGTTTAAAGGCTTGTTGCATATGCTAAATGCAACCATTTTCCCACGAAAGAGGAAATAGATAGATTTTGTTTAATTTAATTTAATTTTACTTGCTTGAGGACTAGCAAGTGGTAAGTTGAGGGATGTGATTAAGGCTGAAATGTACATCATTGAGGCCGTTAATTAGAATCTCTTAATTTCACTTGTTGGTCAAACTGTATACTTTATGTGTGTTGAGTGTTAATCAGGTTGTACATCGTCGGAGCATAAAATGGGCAAAAAGACAGAATCTGGACAGAGTTGACTTTTCCCCATGTGCGTTGACTTTTTTCGCACGTGCGTTGACTTTTTCTGGGAAAGTCAAACCGACGTTTTAAACTTGTTTGGACGAGATTGGAAGTATAAAAAGGCAAGTAAAAGGCTGGATTAGGGTTCAGAAGTTGTTTTGACCTAAAGGGAGAGGCTAGGGTTTGGAAAAGATACTTCTGCTCCCTAATTGATTTCTCCACATCAGCACCAACTGATTAAGGCCGAAATGTACGTCATTGAGGCCGTTAATTAGAATCTCTTAACTTCACTTGCTGGTCAAACTGTATATTTTATGTGTGTTGAGTGTCAATTAGGTTGTACATCGTCGGAGCATAAAATGGGCAAAAAGACAGAATTTGGACAGAGTTGACTTTTCCGCACCAGAGTTGACTTTTTCGCACGTGCGTTGACTTTTTCTGGGAAAGTCAAACCGACGTTTTAAACTTGTTTGGACGAGATTGGAAGTATGAAAAGGCAAGTAAAAGGTTGGATTAGGGTTTGGAAGTTGTTTGGACCTAAAGGGAGAGGCTAGGGTTTGGAAAAGAAGCGAAACAAAAGCTCAAAGATGTCTCCCATGGTGGTTCCTTCTCTTTCTACCTCCTTCCACTCCTCCATGAGTGGCTAGTCTTCTTTTCTAGGGTTTTGATGAAACCCTAGCCATGTAATTATGTAGTTTTCTTTTTGATTTTTAATTATGTAAAGGTTTAAACATTTGTATGGTGATTTAGAAGTTTGTTTTATATAATTTTCATTATTCTTTCGAATATTTGACTTTCTGTGATTGTTAAATGTTATCCATACAATTGTTTTCTTTTCCTTCACATTCAAGGTATGGGACGAACCATACTACGAGGAACGAGTCGTATCATTACCTTAGTTTAGAGTGAACAGTTCGTATTACTTGAGATGGTTCGTGCTCGTACATTGAATGTGATGATCTTCTTGTTAAATGCTTTGAGCTTGTAGTTGCGAAGCATTAATCCGTTCAAATCATAGCATAATTGATCTCAATTGGAAACCCTAATTATGTGGTTAGTGGTGAATTCTCTACCCTAGGATTTTTTTTCCCAATTCAGTAAATCCAATTTCATTTATTATTGATAATTTAATTCCTTAGTTTAATTTATTTGTTATTAAATTAGGTTATGATCATTCAATCTTTTTATCAAAATTAATTTAGGAATTTAACAATTAAATTAGTTTAATTTCACAATAGTCCCTGTGGATCGATACCTGGACTTGCCATTATTCTGATTGAATTTGGTATTGTTTAGTATTTAATTTTGGTATGTTCAACGACCCATCACATGCAAAAAGGGGTCCCTTTGGAAGGCCAACAAAGCTAGTAAAGAGAATGAGGAGTGAGAGGGTCACCCCTCTATGATTTTGAAGCTCAAAGGAACATCTAAGCTACTTAAAATCCGTTGGATTTTAGTGGCTAAAAGGCCAAATCAAGGCCAATGCAAGTGCTCATATGCATAGCTCAAAGCATGAGGAAATAAGGCATGAGAGGGGGTAGATGACCCCAAACAGAGAAAGTATCTTAAACAAACATGTTTATAAGCTCAAAAGGAAACTTTTTCATGTTTATGACAAATCTCTAAAATGCTCACAAGTAGGGTTAAGATATGATGAAAAATAAGCCTACAAAGAGGGACAAAGCATGCAAGGGTGTAGGAGACCTCAAACAGAAAAGTGTCCTTAATCAATATTCAAGAGGAGCTCAAAATATGACACTTTTTAGTTTATGACAAAGTCTAGAAATACTTTTAAGTAAGGCTAATCAATGGAGCAAAAAGATGCAAGTTTAAGGGAAATAGGTGCTTACCCTTGAAGAGCAGCAAAGCTGGAGCTTTTGGACCAAGTTGGTGAACCTTCAACCCTTGCAAATCAGTCCCAAAGCGCTGGAATAGATGAAGGAGGTGTGGTGTTAAGGGTTGTAGTGCAAATGGTCCAAGAAAACTAGGATTTGAAGGCTCAAGTGTAGAGATATAGAGAGAGAGAGAGTTGTAAGTCTTCAAAGTTGTTCCCCTGCTGGGGAAGATCAGCCTCTCCTTTATAGAGGAGATGCTCCAAAATATCCCAAAAGGGCTTCACATATTCCCCATAGAGATGGTCCAATTGCCTCACAACTGGCACAGCTGTGATGCATTCAGAGAGGGCAAAAAGCAAGAAGCAGGCTGGCCAGTTCAAGTGGCCGGCCGGCCACTCCCCCTGGTCGGCCGACTAGGGGTCAAAAGGTTCAAGAAGAATTTCTGGCCGGCCACCCCAAAAAGGTGGCCTCCCAGATGAGTGCAACACAGCTGTATAGTGAAAAATCAGAAAATTTAACCCAAGAGAGAGAAAAACCAGCTTTTTAGCAAGGTTCAAAAGGGTCAAGATGAATTACTGGTCGGCCTACCCATATTGGTGGCCTCCCAGATGAGCACAACACAGTGGTGGTATGAAAAGCTAGAAATTGTGGCTTAAAAGTGAGAAAAATCAACTTTCTGTCAAAAAAATCGGCTTTTGGAGGGAGAAAAAAGAGAAAACTGGTTTTTCAGGAGAAAAGGTGGCCTCCCACCATCCTACTACCTCCCTAGCAATGAAAATAGGGTTCCTACCAAAAATGAATCAAGATGGATGCAAAACGAGGGTTCGGGGGCCAAAACGCGCGGTCTGGGGCCCCGAAAACAGGCTGCTAGGCATCGGAAGTGGCGTATGACCACGAAGGTGGTCTCCCGGGCCACAGTGTCCCTCCAAAGGGAGGAAATAAGGTGTGCGCCAAAACTGGAGCAATTGGAGGTAATTAAGTGGTCCCGAACTGAGGCGCATGGCCGATGGCTCCAAAAACTGGAAACTGGCCTCCAAACGGGAAAAATGGCCTACGACCGCGAAACGTAGCCTACGGCCACTGAGAGATGGTCTACGGGACCTCTCCCTCCCTTCGAGAAGAGAAAACAGAGAAAACAGGACATGGTTCGCAAACCGAGGCAAAGCACAAAAGAGCCCCGAAGTCCGGAGGCAAGGGTCGCAGCCGAGACTTTAAAACCTCAGAACGAGCACAATATGCAACATCACCAAGCACTCATCTGGTGATGTCTGAGTCTTAAGGTCGGTCAAAAATGGGGTGTCTACAGTTGCCCCTTTTTGACAGAACTCGGAAGTCATACGTGATGGCAGTGAATGTCAAAGCCCAGAGACGACCCATTTTTGACAAGGCTGAAGACTTAGACAAACAGGCAAGATAACACAGATGTGCCCGCAGGCAGGGGGCAAGATGCAAAATGATATGCACAAAGCTGGACGTAACTCATGATCATACAAAGCAGCAAGCTGTAATAAAGCGCACACGCAACAGTTTTAAGCAAGAATGCAAAGCAACAACTACATTTCATGCAGTTTAAGAATGCGGAGAATTATTCAATTCTCGCCACGTCTCACACGGAGAAGATACAATACTTGCGCGATTCATCTGGTTGCACCAGCTTCAAATGAACCGTACATACAATATCGTGCCTGCAAAAGAGAGAAACTTAACAAGCACAACATAGTTAGCAACTGTAGACGTCCCCGAACGCCTTAGGAGGATGAGTCCCGTTCTGTTCATTTGGGCTCACTACAGGTTCGGACTCTC